TTGAAATCGGGGAATCACCATAAATCTATGGGAATCACCATATCACCAAGTTTACACAGAAACCAGCGGACAGCTGACTAAAGTGCCATCTGTTTGAGGATATGCAACTCTGCAACACCAGTAGGCTGTAGGGGCCCGCAACCGCGATTTGAGTAACTTTAGAAAATAAGCGCTAGATGGCGGTGGGAAATACGATACGATGTAGTATTTAATTCAATCTTGCTTTACAGAACCAGTTTTGCACAAAAGCACTTGCTATTGTGACTTGTTTTTTAATTTTTACTTAAGTTTTTTTTGTACTTTACTGGACTTGATTTGTTCAGTAGATTTAAGAATGAAATCAGTAGATCAGGAGACGGAACCCTAAATCAGTAGATCTACTGATTTTTCAGTAGATCTGGGAACACTGGCTGTTATCGCGCTCTCTTCAGCCACAAGCAACAACAGACACAGCGGTACGAGTTTGGTTCGGCGCTGTTAGTTGCGTTGACCTGTGCATTGTCCATCGTGCGAGTGCTTGATTACATTATGAACAGGTTCTGTATGTGGATGACTGTTTTGAGTTCGAAAAACGTCAGCAAAAAAGCTACAACATCCTCTGTTTCCATAATTCGGAAGTTACTACTCCTACTCGGATTCTAATACAACTTTGACAGATGCTTCCACCAATGGTGGTGCAAGAGCAAGTCACAGGGGAAAATTTGAGAACGCCAACAAATTTCTGAAAACAGGCACCCCGTTTATGGTTGCATTCATATATAGGTAACAATGCTTAGGATTTCTGTCTAGCTAAAATGTCTCCGTATATTTGATCAATTTGTCCATATACTTGGTTCCACTTTTTTCTATTAAGAGTTGAAATGGCGTCGTTTCGCAAAATTATGTGAACATAAACAAGACATTTTCAATAGATCCTATACTCCATCGGGACGAGTCTTTACTGGGACTTTGAAACGAGTATAGTATATTTAATACTAACTGAAGCAGCGAGAGATCCGTTTTCAATAGCTATTTTCGAGTTCTAAATTCAGTACTGTCACAGAACGGTATCCTTCAGATATAGCGGCATCAGTGAAAAATAAAACAAGAGCATTATATTGCTCTAAAATTCTGTTGACAGCACTTTCTAGACTTAGCCACCTTGTTTGAGAAGGTTGTAGGATCTTGTGTATAGGGGTTTCCGTAAATGTTTGAAACTCTTTGAGGGTATCAATACGTTTCGGGCTGTTCGAGAAAAAATTATATACATTGCGAACCAAGTCTTCGGCACGCCTAGGTAATTTTGAGCACGCATTTGATGCACATAAACTAAAACTGTGGCATATACATTTGAGTGTGAACAAGTTTTGTATTTGTGCTTGTAGTTTTGTAGTTAATGAATTGAGTCTACCGACCATCACGCTGGCACCATCCGAGGCAAAACCGATTAAATTATTTCGCCAAGGAATCCCATTGTTATCGAAAAAACGGACTATTTTTTCGTGAAGATCATCTGCTGTAGCTCCTTGGAGAGGTATCAAGGCCAGAAAACTGTCAGCAACTCTAAAAAACAAAAACATCAGAAAGTATATTTTTATATTTTCTTGTTATATCTGTTTGAAAAGGGCGATCCCTTTATAGTTAAATTGACTAACTTTCATATGAAATTAAACACAATTAGAACTGATATAATTTTCGTTAAACTTACTTGCCAACTTGGCGATATCTACTTATTAAACATAAATGCTTTGTGCAGCCTCTATCCGTAGATTCGTCAACAATTAACGAAAATTTCGTGCTTTTTAAAATAGCACACAAGTTATCTAATTGTCTTTTTCCAATTACTTTGTTTACTATGGCGGAACATTTTGTTGGTTTACATTTAATATTTCTTGCTACTTCTGAATCGGGGCATATTTTGGGAAGAAGTTGTACGAAATGGTTCATTATATTGTAGGATAAATTATGTTCCGAGACAAAAGCTGCTATGTGCATTTCAGATTTTTTTGTCGTTTTCTCCAAATTGCTAAACTTTTTAAAAGATGCTAATGTTTGCTGGCCTTTTACAGATTTCAAACTTGTTCTGTGTCTTTCGCTGGCAATATGCCTTACTAGGGCCTCCTTTCCCGTTGTTTTGACTGATATATTTTTCTTGCAAGCTTTACAGTAGGCACTATTTTCTTCCCCTTGCTCTAACCAGCCTTTGAAATCGGGATCATTTAGCCACGTTTTATTAAACTTTTGCGAATATTTAATTTTCTTGCTTCCCGAGGGAATTTCGCTTCCAGAATCATCAGATTCTGATTCATGTTCTCTCCTAAAATGAAATTACTTCTTTTGTTTTCAACCTATAATAATAAATAAAGTAACTTACCTCATTTTATTTGAATTTCACCTCAATAAACTTCACCAAACATCAATAAATAATCAAAATTTCTTTCTGTCACTTAATATTTGGGTTTTGGGTACTACAATCGAAACTCTTTGAAATCGGGGAATCACCATAAATCTATGGGAATCACCATATCACCAAGTTTACACAGAAACCAGCGGACAGCTGACTAAAGTGCCATCTGTTTGAGGATATGCAACTCTGCAACACCAGTAGGCTGTAGGGGCCCGCAACCGCGATTTGAGTAACTTTAGAAAATAAGCGCTAGATGGCGGTGGGAAATACGATACGATGTAGTATTTAATTCAATCTTGCTTTACAGAACCAGTTTTGCACAAAAGCACTTGCTATTGTGACTTGTTTTTTAATTTTTACTTAAGTTTTTTTTGTACTTTACTGGACTTGATTTGTTCAGTAGATTTAAGAATGAAATCAGTAGATCAGGAGACGGAACCCTAAATCAGTAGATCTACTGATTTTTCAGTAGATCTGGGAACACTGGCTGTTATCGCGCTCTCTTCAGCCACAAGCAACAACAGACACAGCGGTACGAGTTTGGTTCGGCGCTGTTAGTTGCGTTGACCTGTGCATTGTCCATCGTGCGAGTGCTTGATTACATTATGAACAGGTTCTGTATGTGGATGACTGTTTTGAGTTCGAAAAACGTCAGCAAAAAAGCTACAACATCCTCTGTTTCCATAATTCGGAAGTTACTACTCCTACTCGGATTCTAATACAACTTTGACAGATGCTTCCACCAATGGTGGTGCAAGAGCAAGTCACAGGGGAAAATTTGAGAACGCCAACAAATTTCTGAAAACAGGCACCCCGTTTATGGTTGCATTCATATATAGGTAACAATGCTTAGGATTTCTGTCTAGCTAAAATGTCTCCGTATATTTGATCAATTTGTCCATATACTTGGTTCCACTTTTTTCTATTAAGAGTTGAAATGGCGTCGTTTCGCAAAATTATGTGAACATAAACAAGACATTTTCAATAGATCCTATACTCCATCGGGACGAGTCTTTACTGGGACTTTGAAACGAGTATAGTATATTTAATACTAACTGAAGCAGCGAGAGATCCGTTTTCAATAGCTATTTTCGAGTTCTAAATTCAGTACTGTCACAGAACGGTTCTGGAACCGCGCAAGACTGGATGCGTGAAGTCGAAGACCTCTGGAGCGGTTATGAACAGTCCGTGAACTATCAGAATTTTTCCAAAACCCGAACGGCCTGAACTCAGGACTACGGCAACAGTTCTTATTTTGTTTAGTGCTAGACCTGGCCCTGGGTCTTTAGGAAGTTGATTTGTTGGATAAAAATATCTTGCCTAAAATGCTTGACAAACTGTTTGTTAGTTTAGGACGGAACAGTTTCCTCAAAGAAATTATTATTTTTGCTCACATCTTTAACAAGCTCTGGCAAAAATAAGTTGGGAGTAACTGCTTCAAGTTCATCATCGCACTCAGACGACGATGATTATGATGAATCAGAATCAACATTGATATGCGTTGAACCCATTTGTCCACCTTTCTCTTAATTAAAAAATAAACACTCCCCAAATCGCAAAAAACTAAACAGCACTTAAAGCAAAACACGTCAAATAATTTTAATGACATTGGCAGAAGGAATACCAATGCGTGAAAAATCAGTTCAAAAATGGTCCCGGCAGTAAAGCAAGAACTGCTTGAACGATTCTCGAACCATCCTAGAACTGAACCAGGATATAACTCGAACACCAAATTTCAATTCTAAAACGGTCCGAAAACAGGTAACAGAAACCCGAACACTTCGGTTTCTTCTGCGCATGCTCCTGATATTTTTAGAGCAGTAATGATAAAAAACCCAAGAATCCTAATGCTAACGTCAAACGTCAGTAGCACAGTCAACGACGCGATATGGTTGTTCTGCTGTACAACTTATTTACATAGGATTTCATACCTTCTTGTCCGTACCGTTTTTTTTTTTTGCTGTTTATATTCGGTTCAGAGCTGCTATAGCGAAATAAGTTATCAGACTGTAATACAGTGATACGTATGCGTTTTTGTGTATTCGTACTTAGCATTGACACAAATCTGATAGAAGGATGAGAGTATTGCATAGTAACCATATCTCAATTTACATGACATAGTCATCTTGATGCCTAGTGCCTCATGCATTGTACAACGCCGGTAGCGAGTCGATCGTTTTACCAAATGATTCTCTTATTTCCAACAAACAAGTTCTGACTATCAGAGACTATCAGATAGTCATCCATACAAATTAACTATATGATCTTGCCTTGCTATGCGCATTTCTTATCTGGTCTATTATAAATTATTGTTCGGGACTATCGGAAATTCATTGTAGTTAAGAACCGATACAGAGGACGCGTCGATTTCCCACTGCTTGACGCTGTAAACAGCGGTACGCGTGACCTTCCATAGCTGATGGCTCATCTGGCGGCGTCTGGAATCTGCACTGGGGAATTTGCCAGAGTGTAGCTTCTGGTTTACTTATTCTGTGGTTACAAGTCATATGCCCCTCATTTCAGGTAGCTGCCCGCGATTTTTGTGAATATTTTTTTGGATTACTTCTATAATGACTCTCAATATTAATAAATACGTACAGATTTCAGTACTTACTTTGTCTGTCAAATGGTACCTCCTCACAACTGCTATCTCCCCTTGCTGAGCACCTGTAAACTGCTCCACCCCTGTACACCATGCTGGCGTTTTGAAAGATAGATTGAGCGAACGGTGCTCCAACTAAAACCCTGAAATAAAAAAGACACTATGAATCAATCGATGACATCCAAATTGATTCCATATACTGCAATATAGTGCAGTGGTTCTAGACCCGAAAACACTGACATTTTCTGCCGGAATGATACTCGGCATGGGGTGAGTACTCATCAATACCTTTCATTTAAGAAGTGGTGTCCAAGCGGCGCTGACAGAGGGAGCAATATACAGGGTATTTATATCTCGTTGTCGCAAATTTTTAATTTCTATATTTTGTTATATTCGGTCGCTTCTTACAGTTATTCAGTGACATTTTGCCCATATTATCCGGAACGATATTCCAGGATATCTGAAAATGCGAAGAAAACATGGTCCGCCCTCATCGCCTTTATTTCGACCGCTTCATTTGGTTGTACGGGAATAAACTAATCGTGAAGAAGGTACTCAGTAATACCTCACTTTTGAAAAGAGGTTCCTAAGTGAAACCACTTGAGGATCCTGGCTTTGGAGGTTTGCACATCTCACAGGGTCAGATTTGTGACTTTCTCTATTGTGCTGTATTTAGAGTGTTTCGAAAAGTAATTTCGCAGTATTTTGGCACTGTTTGGATCTAATATCTCAGGTGTATTACCTATGTGTTGAGTTAAAGCATGAGTGCCCCATATTCGAATGAGAGATACAGCACACGCTGGGAATAAGTATGGACGACTAATCGAAAAATTTTGAAAACCATCAGAACCCTCAACTCCTGCTAGATATGCAACCTCCCGTAGCCAGGATCCTCAAGTGGTGCCACTTGGGCATCAGACTTTAAGAGTAAGGTATTGATCTGCTCCTATGCCTAGTTGCGTTCCGTTACAACAAAGTAGAAGCTGCGCTGATGGCTAACGTTGTTTTCTTCGTATTTTCAGATTTTCTAGAAGATGCCCTAGAAAAGGTAGATATCTTATTAAAATATGGGGCAATCGTGCTTTATTTAAGCCCGTAGGTGGAACTCTCAGTATACTGGATCCAAATAAATGCTAGAATACTGCAAAATCACTGCTCGAATCACCCTGAATACAGCACAAAGACAAAATCGCAAATTTGGCTCTGCGAAATATGCAAGCCTGCGTAGCTAGGATCTTCAAGTGGCACTTGGGCACCACTTTTCAAAAGTGAGGCATTAGTATTTCCTCTGTTGCGAGTTTCATTCCGGTGCAACAAAGTGGAGCGGTCGTAGTAAAGGCGCTGACGGCGGAGCAAGTTTTCTTAGTATTTCCTTGGAAAATGTCCCGGATAATGTAGGCAGCGCAGTTCGGCAGATTTTAACTCAACACATAGGGATAGTATAGGCAACAAATAGAAGCTAAGAATAGACAGAAAAACTGCTAGACAAGACCAAATACGAATACATCAAAATATAGAAATCACGAATTTACACCTTCGGGATATACCAACAACCTGTATATCGGCCCCTCCTCCAGTGTCGCTTGGGCACCACTTCTTGAATAAAAAATATTGATGAGTACTCATTCCGATAAAGAAAAGTCACCGCACCAATAAAGAGACATCAAATATCACAATAAACCCTCTCAAATTAAGAGTTTCTAGATGTGCAAACTAACAGGTCGTACATTAAAGTTGGAGCAAGGGGCAGCATTCTAACGAGTCCATTTAGCAAGAATAAGTGGCAGTGGGGCCATAAAAAAAATCTCAGGACAAATTTTCTTTGTACATAAAGACCTACTGCAGTGCCTTTCCAAAAGGCAGCTGAACGTCATTTTGGAAAATACTTTTAAATAGAATAGGAGATCTTGTGATATCTCATTTTGAATCTTCTTATGAGTACTTTTTGAACCTAGATTATAAAGTTCCAGAATGGCGGACCAGTATATGACATACTGGTTGATGAGTGATTACCATTAATGTACAAAATACTTTACTAATCTACTGGTAAGAAATTTCATAATTTGGTAACACATAATCCTAATTCCATTTGTAAAAGTGTTTCAAGGTGAAAAATCATGAACACTCCATATTAGCGATAACACACGAGCAGATATCAAAGTGATTTGCTATAGGTGTATTACCTGAATTTCACAAGACTGAAAAGACAATCAGTTTTTCTAGGTTTTTTACATCGAAAGAACCGCGGTGGCAGAAGCTTAAGTCCCGGAGCACAGTGGCTGCTATAAGGAGCTTAATCTCATTTTTGAATTGCCCAAGATTAGTAGAACTGGTAAAAGCATCTTGAAGCAGATTATATCAGAATGTCGACACCTAGAGAGATCTGTCCTGACAGACTCATCGAACGGCGTCATCATGGAGAAGAGGTCTGAGTAGCAAAGCTCGTTGACATAATGGTAGTCAGAGCCATACTGCCGACGGCCCTTCGATGCCAAGTGGTGCCGAGACTGTCTGTTACGGGAGAGTGATCGATCAATAAAACATGTGAGCAGTACTCGAAGATAGGTCTTATCTGGGCCCTGTACAGTGTGAAAAGGTAACCTATAAAAGGATCTTGAATAGTAAAGGCAACAAATAGAGGCCAAAATTTGACAGAAAAGCTGCTACAAGAGACCGAATGAGGAGCTGAGCTATCTGAAACTCTCCTCTACTACTTTTTGGCAACTAAGCACATACTAATCACAAGATAGCTTATCAAACAATATCCTGCAACCATTAAAACTAATTTATATAACGCTTACTTCTCTACCGATGGTTATCAGCCTAATGTTACAAGTTCTTTTTAATGGTTCTAATGTATCAGTTAATAAAAATCTTTAGTAATTTCTTGTATAAACGTTTTTAATGAACTCTCGAGCGTTAACACTTTGCTATACAGCGTTTTATTGAGTTGGAATGTTAAGTGGCCAATAGCAGTAGCTGTTACTCTGTGGTTCTTATAGATAACAATAGGTCTGTTGTTATAGGTCTGATAGCCGAAGAACTTGTGCAGAAAGATGAATGTAACGATCAAGCTTTACCTTTAAAAAAACTTGGAGTTGGGGGTTGTAAGGTGGGGAGGATTTATCTCAATTTTGTTGATGGTGGTACATTTATACTCTCCCAAGATTGGTAATTCTACGCACCTACTACACATATTTCAGACATCATAGATTTCTCTATACATTTGCCCTAAATATATTCTCGGGGGACAGATCGTCTACCTATCGGCGGCGGCTACTGCTGCTGGTGCCGTGCGAATACCGTGATGAATGTTCTGGTATGGAATCACACGTATTTCTGCAACAGTATGGTGTTTCCTATGCTCTGACTGCGCTATCACGGTGCCACGTCTGACCGAGTTAAGCATCGGGGAGGGGCGACGTTTTCAAATGCACTACTGGTATAGCAGTGAAGGAATGTCTATGGACTAATTGTATGGACCTGTTTGACTGACTTTTCTCTCAGAGGGTATATATATTCCTTTACGTACTGATAGGGGCGTTGCGTGGGAAGTGCGGAGTCAACTTTTCGCCATTTTTTTTTATCGCAAGATTTTCAATTCGTGACTCTGAAGTGTCTCTATAATCCAAAAATGTGATAGTGTAACATTTGAAAACTTATCCAGTGCTTTTAATGTTGATAATTTTACGTGTCTTTGGTCGTAAAATCAAACGGCATAAGTATTAGGTGGCCGAAACGTCAAGCCAATCCTACATATCGCAGCCTCAATTCAATACTAAAGATAGCCAACCATATTCTATATTCTGGCGCCCAAACACGGATATGAAAAATCCTAGCGCCATCTATGAGACTATAGCAGAACACAAAAATTAATTTAATCTAGACTATACAGTGCCTACTGGCAGGTAAATATTGCAATCGCGGAAAATTTCGAAAATGAGATATTATGGTTTTTGGATGCTATATGACATGTACATCACGAAAAACCATGTTACTCATTTCCGTCGGTGGGTCGGAACTTTTACACAATGTTACTAACTACGCCAACGACGAAAAAGCTTTGCAGCTTTTGAAAATCGGTCCAGTGGTGACGGAGAAAAAGGTCAAAAACAAAAAAAATAGAATACTCTCAAAATTCGTTTTGTGACGTTTGAGACGATCCTGACCATTTTCGGAAAAAAATTGTACGGGTAGACATTGGAGGTTAGGGGTTGCAGGGGGTGGAAAAGAGTATATCTCATTTTTTGACGTCAGTGTATTTATACGCCTCCAACCCCAATAATTCTACACCCATATTTCACTCAGCACAGATGACTCATACATTTACCCTTAAAACTTAAAAAATATCACCTGCAGTCGGTTGTCGATTCGTGCGACCGGGGATGGACAAGCGTGGTCGTCGATGATCGTACGTCACAGTCGGCAATCGCTCATGCACTGCTTTGGTGCTGTGGGTTGGACTGTGTGCACTGGGCATGGTGAAGACCAATATCGTCATTCACGCGGGATTGGTCTTCGCAATGATATAATAACATAATCCTTTACGATGACACCATAGCGTGGGAAGTGAGAAGAAGAAGAACTTAACATTTTTGGGATTACCCTCGTAGCATTGTAAATCTGTGCAACCGACTTACTTCTACTTGTAAACTCCAATAAACAACCATAAAGTCGCTATTTATAACAAATTCCATTTCCAACAACCAACTGTCGTCACCATTAATCAATACCCAGAAATAGCAGATAATCTCCGTACGACAATGTGAAAGAGAGCATTGCATTGATATCCCTCCTCTCAATAAAAACTATTACATATTTTACATGGCATGCCTCGATAAACTGTATAGCATACATATATTCAATATGTTAATTGCAGACGTGATCCGAATGTTGAAAACTGAAACGTTTTCCTCTTTATAATAACACAGTAGTTCAGTTTTCTTAACTGTGTGTAAAATTACGCAATGCTATATGTATTTATAGACAAGGTTGTAGTAATAAAAATCTTCACAACCTGTATTCGTGAAAATCGCCTGCGCGATAATCAGATTGAAGCCTACGCGAATTTTTTCTGCTAGGCGTATTGTACTGAGTATGCAGTGGTATTTACTTTATGATCTTTGTAATGCTTTATAGCGTG